CAGACCTCAACCCTATTGAAAATCTATGGAGGGAGTTGAAAGTCCGTGTTGCTCGGCGACAGCCCCAAAACATCACTGCTCTCGAAGATCTGCATGGAGGAATGGGCCAAAATACCAGCTACTGCGTGTGCAAACCTGGTAAAGGCCTATAGTAATCATTTTACCTCTGTCATTGCCAACAAAGGTTATATTACAAAGAATTGAGTTGAATATTTGTTATTGACCAAATACTTGTTTTCCACCATAATTTACAAATAAATTCTTTAAAAATCCTACAATGTGAATTCCTGGATTTTTTTTCTTCACATTCTGTCTCTCACAGTTGAAGTGTACCCATGATGAAAATTACAGACCTCTGTCATTATTTTAAGAGGGAGAACTTGCACAATCGGTGGCTGACTAAATACTTTTTTGCCCCACTGTATTTGTGTGGTTGAATCACATCTGCACTTGAAGTATTTCTGTCCATCAGGTCTGGGAAAAACTATAGACTTTGTGCCAGAAGACCAAGTGACCTCATGCTGAATCTCTTGAATTGTGAGAAAATAATTGTAGTGCTGGAGGTATTAAAGCTGGAAGCAGGAGGTCTTTGGCTGAGTGAGTGGCCACTTGTTGGGTAAGGTAGAGGAAGGTTTATGCACTGGCACATTTGGTGAATGTTAGCATGCTTGGTTTCACTGTAGGTCAATTATAATGGAGTCGTGCTTGGCCTGTCACCACAAAGTGCATAATCAGAACCACTGCTGGGCGAGCCACTAATCCACGGATGGCGGGGCACTTAAGCGTGCCAGTCCTGTAGCCTGCAGTGCTGTTCAGTGTGCACACACCCAGAGCTCCACTGGGCCCTCTGGGTCCTAATCCTGATGCTTGTTTGTTCTCGTCTTTGTGGTTGACAACACTGAGGTGTGGCAGGTAGGATTATGTTCACATATGCCTCACTATCAAAATATGTGTTTCCTTCATCAATAAGCTCTAACTAAGACTTACTCTAGCTCCCTGAGATAAATTATTAAAGTATAATTAGATAACAAAGGCCACTGTCTCCTTAAAGAGCCACCTGTTTATTTGGGATCAATGTATGCAAATATGTGTTTCAACACTTTCATGCAGATTTTCCTGAATTCACTTGTATTGACGTATGGCACAAATAGACCGTTTTTTCTCCATATTTTTTCTGAAATTCCTTTCATTGTTTTGTGACAAAACAATGTCTTCATTAGCAGGTTTAACTCACTTACTCTTTGTGACATTTTGATACCCTTTAAACCATATTTCACATGGAGATATTGCATATGGTCATATCAATACCACACACTTCCCATTTTCTTAGCATGTCCTCAGGTCACAGTCAGAGTACGCTGTGGGTTCAGCGCGGGATCAGCTCCTCTTGCTCACAGAGTCCAATAAAAACACTGCAATTGTCAAATAGTGCGAACGATTCAAAGTTGGAATCAAAGTAGTTACAAACATTACTGTCAAATGGCTACTCTATTTACATGTCATGCATTATTCATGTGTTCGCTTTTGCATTTAACAGCAAAAGTTTGAATCTGCAACTGAAAATGTCAAATGTTGGCCAAGTATTTCACTATTCCTCTCATGTAAGTCTCCAACAGCTCTTTATTTAAATACTCTCTGAGTTGTGTTTTCTGTTGTGATGTCGATGCTTCTCCGTGCCTGTGCCTGATCCACTGGCGCTGATCTCTCATCTCTGTCCATGTTCGCTCTGGATTACCACTGCAAGCCTACAGCCACTTCTGCACATCTACCCACGTCCACGCTCAGGCCTCGTAGCCACCAGCACTGCGCCAAATAACCGCGCAGGACGGAGCAAAATCAGCCCATGCGGCGTCTCCAAAACATACGTGTTACTTTTTTTCCCGGTTCTATATTGGGAGAAGGTTAGACTTGTCAAACTAGAACTTGCTGCCTTACTGATGTGCCTCCTCTTCAAAACTTTGCCTTGCCTAAAAGAGTAAAATGGGTCAGAACCCAGCTGGAGACGATCCCTCCCGCTCAAAAACAGAGGAGCCGCTTCAGACCCGCCCCTTCAGCCTGACCGTCCACACATTCTCAACACAAACGTCAAGCGCACTTTCATGTGTCAGAGCGTGTGATGCATTTGTGAGGATGTTGGGAAACTTCTCTTGTGCAAGCAAACACTCTCCCAAACATGTTTTCCCACTCACAGCTGGTATCGATCAGAGGAAAGCGGAATGCTGCACGATTGGCAAACATTAACACGCCTTATTAAAGCTGACGTACCTAACTTGTTTTTCCGTAAATATTGCCTATATTCAACATAAAGAGTCCTGTCAAAGAAACAGAATTTGTAAACAGAATTGGACCACAAAATGCTATCTTAATATTATTTGAAAATATATTTTGCTAACAGACTTACAGAGTCACTATTTGGGCTCAGAGCTGATTGGCTGATTGAAGTCCTCCATTTTTTAATTTTTCTGACAAAGCTGATTTGCAAGCTAAAAAAAAAAAAAAAGTGAAAACCAGAATCACACTGTTTTAGCACCAGGAACGAGTCACATGGATTGTATGGCTTAAATCATTTTTTTTTAGTACCTTAGCTAAAAAGTATTTTTCTTTTCTTTTTTTGGAAGCACACAACTCTCTGTGGGCTTTGGCTTGCTACTTTAAACTGTCCAATCACATGCTGCGGGAATCAAGGTTTTGAAGACTCATTAATTAATATCTAGTAAGCTCAAAACGTCTGTCTGCAGCTTACACAACTTACTGTCTGTTTCTCCGGTACGGCACATGGAAAACCTGTGCGTATTCTTTATTTGTGATTAATTTTTAAATGTTTTCTAAACCTGTGTGTATTATGAATATAGTGTGATCCTTTTGTAATAAATTGTTCTGTAAATACAAATACATTGAGAAGTGTGAATGTCTGTATTGAACATTGGGTTGCTTATGGAGATCCAAAAACATCCAATCCAATCCAATCCAATTTATATATATAGCACATTTAATAAACATCGTACCCAAAGTGCTGAACAATAAAATACAAATTTAAAAAAAATCCATCTTAAAACAAATGTAAAAATACAGAAACAAATGCAGGAAACAAATAGAATTATGAAGAGAAAAGGGGTATTGCACATGGTGTCACCTCAAACAGACCGTATTTAAACATTTGTCAACAACACCAGGGGTAAAAGTATTTCAGTATTGCATCACTAGGAATCAGTTGGAATGAGGAGCACACAGCACGGGATTAGATAAATTAACGCGGCTCTATACTAAACTCTCTACTGAATAAAACAACATCATTTAAAGTCACTAGCTTTAGCATAATAAGGAAGCAGTTCATAGTCTATAATAAGAAGCAACAATTAAGTACACAATCTCTAACTTTAGCATAATAAAGAAGCAAGTGTATAGTACTGTATATGGCAGAAATATCAAAGGCAAAAAAAGCCAGATAAAAACATGGGGGAGAAAGTATGAAAGTATCTCTGAATGCAATACAACGCCGGTCATGTAGACATATAGAGCCTAATGCCAAGACTTTTTTTCACTCTGCATTACTTCACTTGACTGCAGCGCACTGAGACAGCCGTAATACTTGAACTTTTCACAGGAAATTGCTTCACAGTGTTCTTGAACCAACTCTTGAGCATTTCCATGCAGAGTTAGCCCACATGACTAAGGCTGAGCAGAGATCTTCACTTGTCAGTGCCGCGTTACTCACCGTTTAGCACTTGGGAGTTGTCCAAACAGTGTTGAAATGAGAAGAGAGAAGCTGAAGGAGTCTACGAGAAGTGCATCATGGGAGAGAATGTGCTGGCTCCCCTGTGGGCTCTTGAGTCAAACACGTCCTGACCCACTTTCACCATGTCAACTGTATTGATTTGCTGCTCATCTCAATTAAGAAGATTTGAGAGCTGTTAGAGAAATCTAATTATACGGAGATTTACTTTGATTGTTCAGATGCCTTCAGGAATACAGTCAACGTGTGATTTTTCTTGTAAAGTTAGTCATACAGATAACGTGCGTTCAATGACTCGTACATACATTTTTCCGATTAATTTTTTGTCCCATGGTTTTGTGATAGTTTAGAATTATATTATTGTTAGGTTATAAGGTCAAAGACTAAATTTACATCATAATCACCGTTTGGGTCATATAGGGACTATACAGGCATACAGTACATTTACACTCCTGCTAAAACTTTTTATAAGGCATCACTGCTTTTGACTATTCTTATTGTATGCTGTCCCTGTGTCGTATAAAGACAATCCCAAATAGCAGGAAGAATAATGCAATGTGGCCCTTTTTTCATTTTGCCAAATGCTCCATCATAATTTGCAGTGAAAATCCCGAACCCGGATCATTGCCTCACTATACAGTATCAGGCTGAGCCGGACTATCTGGACCAATATGGGGTCTCAGTATTTCCAAAACACCTAATGGGAAAAGTGAGATTGAGTTTGAAACGAGCTCTAACCGGAAGGATTAGTGTCCTCATAGATGGTTAGAATTCTGAGCTGGAGGGGTGTGTGGAGGTGGGCTCCTCACTGATGACCTACATTCCTGCTAAAGCCGTCTCAGTACAGGGACTCATGGACAAGTGTAATGTCTAATAATGCTGCAGCCTCTGGAAATGGAACTGGCCTGTAAGGAGGATTGAGTTTACTCTGGTAGAAGTCTGTCCTCCAAAGTCAAACTTCTTCACTCTTTGGAAAGATACAACAAAGAGCAGAGCTCATCCGCTCTGTAGGAATGTGTGAGTAATGTTGATTTAAAGGACAACTTGTCACTAATGGCCACTGTTGGTGTGAAAATGTACAAACATTTTGACAAATGATAAAAGAACAGGTCAATAGAAGTTGTGTTGTGATTAAGGACACACAGAGTTAAAGAATAAGGCACACTTGGAGCCAGTTGGCGTGTTGGCGTGTGGAATATGGGCAACAGTCTTTTAAAACAGCTGCATTTCAGAGGAAGACGCTCCATCTGCGGCAGAACAAAGCACCATGAGCGCTGCAGAGGTGAAGATGGCACTGACCAAATGTCAGAACAGAGCCTGGAGACCAGAGGAGTCTGTTCACACACCCACGTCTCACATCCGCACACCTCCACGTACAGACAACACTGAACACACTGTGGCCTTGAGCTCTGCATCTTTAGAGACGGAGAGCTGCTATCGCATTGCCCACTCCTCTGGAGACATGAAACTGATAAAATAAGAGAGAAGAGAAACACATCGTCCTCATGAATAATAGACCACTGCCACATACACACACACACACACACAGATTCCTTTATTCAATAAAAAATAAATAGTTAGAGTTGCCTAGCAACCCATTATTACCTGCATTGTTTTAACATATTGATCGGCTTCTGGCACTAGTCTCTCAACAGAGAGGGTTCATGTACAAGTCATGTACAGGCTCCTGCACCAAAGCCTATTCATCACAGCTATATACTGTATATACTGTATATATACAAATACATAAGTATTTAATTGGAAGGAGATTATTACTACCACACCACACCAGAAACAGTTTCTTTGCCATTTGCACTTTCAGAATCAGAATCAGAATAATTTTTATTGCTTGCCATGTAAGTAACAGGAAGTCACAGACTAGGAAAAAGCTTTCCAATTTTGTTTCCAACCACATCGGAAAATTTGTGCTAAAATACCCAGTGTGCATCGGACGCAAAAAAAAAATCTTTAAAGTGCATTTGGTAAATGTCACCCTTAAAAATAACATTAGGGTTAAGAATGTTAACACACTTTCGTTATGACTTATTATGGCCATATAACACATAGTATAATTCAGATGAATCCATTAAACAATACAAAGAGATTGAACATTGATTTCAGTTAGAGCCAGCACCGCAGACCTCGTCCTTGAGAATCAGGACTGTCCCTTTCACGCTGCACCTTCTCTGCCCAAGTGGAGCTGACGTCTAATCAACACCTGCAGTCTCTTTGACTCCAGCCTGCGCCCATCTGAGACCTCCATGGCTGCACTACTCACAGCTTTAACCAGATGCCATTTCAATCTGTCATTGTGACGGATGGATTCCCCAAAAATCTGACATGAGCTTTTTAATATGTTTACATTTGGCAACGCAGCTGCAACAGGTGGCTACACTGAACGGGAATTACTACCACACCATAATCGTAAAGCGCTGTGGGTGACCTTGGCCTGTGAATTGTGCTGTATAAGTAAGCAAGTAGAAAGTAATGTTTATTTGTATAGCACATTTTACAGACCAAGGTCACCCAAAGCACTTTCCACTGTTCAGACATGTCATGGTGTGGATTTTATTTTTGCACTTGGTTTTATTTGGACTTCATTTCTCTGTGGTTTTAAGTTTAGTTTGACTTCCTGTTCGCCTGAGTTGATTTTCTGCCCCACCCTTTTGTGTTTCACCTTTTGTGTCTGTGTCTATTTGTACCCTGTGCTCTTCTCCCCTTGTTTTGTCCTGTCCCTCTTTCATTGGATGTATTGAGTTTGGTTTTCACCTGGACTTTTATTTTATCATCACTAAATCATTATTTTTTGCATTCCTGCATTTTGGGTCCTTCCTGCCTCTTACCTCATGACAAGACAATGTTCAGTATAGATAAAGATTAGATACTAAAAAAATAAGCTAGAAGATTCTTGGAGAGCTTTACCACATCAGTACTCATCTCGAAGAATTTTACACACTTCTGTTCAAGCACAGAGACATCGTACCCTTTGATAATTGTCTGGGGTCCTGACCTAAGAAATGGAGATGAATGTTTTTACCAAATTAGATGCATGCTTTATAATACGTTTTTCTTATTTTTCTATATTTTACGCTATTGTTATTATTAGCACTATTACGATTACTATTATTATTATGTTTTTCCATTTTCTATTACTATTATTATTATCATGATTATTATTATTATTTAAAATTATGTTTTTGTCTTTGTGTTGTGTTTGATATGTTTTGGGCTTGTACTTTTGTGTTTTTCTTTTATGCTGTGTTCTAGTTGTCTTTGATACATCATCACCACTATCAACATTCAAAGCCCCCACACACCGCTATATTTCCCATGATCCCCGTCTTGCTCAGATACACCCGCCGCCCCCCCTCCGCTGACCGCTGCTTTTCAACCCGGGGGCCACAAACGCCTCCCCTGTCACATCTGCTCTCCTCGGCGGCCCCTGATGCCATCACATGTTGTCCGTGGTAATACCAGACCTATGTTGTTAATGAGCAGAGGCGCCTTTGTGGTGAACGCACTTAAACGGGCTCAGCCATAAGACTCGGTGAGCGGCTTACAGTATCAAGCAGCCGCTGTTTGCTGTAATAATCAATTTTCAGGTGACGAGGAGTGACCTTGAAACATATTGAATCGACAGGCATACAATGAGAGGATTTGAGCTGCTCACATTAGTGTAATACGGCTAAGGATTCTCCAAAGCACAGTATAGGATAAAGCTGGCATAGAGCTCTGGGAGAAATAACACTCACAGCATTTTTTAAATCGTTTGCACTGACAACCCTTCCTGCTCAGTGTCTGGTCTGTGATTTTACAACTCATGTTACAACCATTTGCAATTGTTTAATGAGCCTTTATTAAAGGAATAGGGTTTAATGAACATGGAAAAGAACACACTTCTTAAAGGTGATGGCTGCAAGTTAAGTTGTATTTAAAAAAAAAAAAATGGTTTAGTTATTTTTTTTTGTCACATACACATTGCATGCTGTGAAATTCGTATGTTCCTCCAGCAGATGTTCCTAATCTAAATTTCTAATAATAATGTATATAATGTATGTTTCTGACCTGGGGACCCATGTGTTATGATATACACTAAGTACTTCTCAACAACAATGTACAGTATTTAGATAAATCCTCACATTTGCACAACTACGACCTGTAAGGTTTGATGGAGGAGAACTTTGTAAATCATGACCATAGACCGTATATATATTAACGGACGTAGTCACGCCTATCTCCGCCGTTCTAACTAATGGCGCCAAAATTTGGGCTTTCATGGAGTGATTCAAAATGGCCACAGGGGCTGGAAAATGAGAAAAAAAAACGAGCCCCATTCATTTAAACAAGTGACTTCAAAAATTCAAAGCGAGTAAACTAGACCGGTCCAAAAAAATTCACCCCCCTCAGCATTGACACACATGTGGAACGGAGCTTTGGGCCAAGAGCCAACTTTTGGACCATCCTGTAAAGACGTTTTTGAGAGGTAAGAAGACGCTATATGTTAGCATTGGCTAATTCTTATTCCGGGTCCACTCCCATCGGCCCAGGGTGGTATTGCAAGCATGTCAGCGCACGTCATTTCGGCCACTTTTGAGCCGGGACCCGCCCCCACTGATCACGACGAGGGGCCTCAAGGATTTGAATTGTTTTTGACCAATCACAATGCTGCAAGGGTGAGTATGGGCGGGTCTAGCCAGTGCTCTCTCTTCACAATTTGAAAAGTAACTGACCTTCATGTATTCAGTTTTGTCTCATAGTAAGTAATGTCTTTACAGAATTGTGTAAAAATTGTGTGTTTGTGTGTTTTTTGTCTGTATTTCATTTGTTTTTTGTTACATGGACTCTTTATGTGTCTGAATTAAATACTAAAAAAGTAATACAAACACATATAAAGTTACTGCTCACTTTCAAACAACAAAATATACAGTAATGTAATAAAAGCCATCTATAAATATGCTCAAAACTGTTTTAGATCACAGGTTTTCACATACATGCATTTCTTTGGCTCAGTCGCATCTTTTAGGTACGATACAAATACAATAATATGTTTTCAATAAGATGAAAAACAGCACGTTGACTATATTACAATAATCTTTAATGCTATAAAACAATGCATGGCAAGGTTTTTTTTGTATAACACAATTCATACACAAGGCAACTCAAACAGTCACACAAGGCATTCAAAATTAAACATTAAAAATAATAATTAATTATAGAAAAATATAAAACCCTTCAATTGTATGCACAGCTAATCAGAACAATAACCATCAAATTTGAACATTGCTTTCAATACCAGCTCTTGAGAATTTCAGCTCCTGTCCATTGTATTGTACCTTTAACATATTCAGCCTGACCGTATTGCAAAGGTCTCTTATTTTTTCCACCCAGCCGAGTAGTTTTTTCCTCTGCGAGGCCCAAACCTAATATCTTTGTGAAATGCATGGCCTCCTCGCGGCTCTGTCTCCCTCTCCGCTCTCCCGGCTGTAATTGTCAATGAGAAGCTTTTGGTGTTGCTGTTCCAGGGGCAATAGCGATGCAGAACGTGTATCCATCAATCTGCAGAGTTCCCCCTGAGCAGTTCCTTCTCACAAATGCGTTTAGGGGCTTTTCTTATTGAATGCAGCGCGGCGGAGGCTCTCTCTAACCTAGTTCCCGTCTATGTCTTTTCAATGAACTCGCTCCCGTGGTGAGTACATGCGCCTGGGCCAGAGAGAGGCAGCAGAAAGGCCAATGGGTCCACTACAGACTGGAGTTAATTAAGTGTGGATGTATTTTTATCATCTTTCCATGCATAAGGCTTTCAGGATATACATAGTTCCCACAGACCAATGAATGTCACATGACCTCCTCGGAGACGCCATCTTTGATGGCACGCTGCTGTGTTTGTGCATTCCATTAAACAGTAGAATGAGAATAAATGTAGATATTCAAACGCAAATTGGAAAAAAAGGGCAACTTTTGAGCAAATAATTGTATATTAATACAATGGCACCACAGTTTAACGTGCTATGGACATGTTTTACATATTTGATCAAATTATGCAGCAAAAATTAACAAGCAATGCAAACATTTCTCAAAAACTTTAGATTTAATACCAGTTGGAGCTCCATTTAATTATTTTAATTATATTAACAATTAATTTAATTAATGCTAATGCCACACGGACACTCTGGATTGCTGTTATTGTTTATTTCCGCGTTTTTGACCGTATGTTTTGGTGAATGGTGGGCAACTGATTTTTCCAGGCGTAAAGAGCAGTTTATTTTATGACACAGATCTTTTTACAGAAGCAATGCTGTTTGTGAACATTGTTTTAGCCCACCATAGAACTATTATTATCTATTTAATACATTTACGTTGCCCTTGAGAGCCTCGGACGCGACACCGATCCTCCTCATAATAAAGTAATCTAACGCTAAATAATGAAACTCTCAAGTTACCAGATATCAGCATACACAAGTTAGTACTGAGTAAATTACGTCTGTCAACACATTATAAGATACGATACGCACCTGACACAAAGTGCTCCGAGCATATTCTTGCGTGTTTTGAGGGAGTTTCTTGCCTGTTTATCTTCGCAAGCCATAACCTCCGTGGTTGTTCTGACAAAAGCTTAGTCTTCTCACATTCATGAAGTCTAATGATGGGTATACTGTAAAATCCAAGTTTAACGGAACCTCCGGCACAATTTGAACATCCATTGACCCAGCAGGAGATGACCATTTTCAACTTTATCACGACATTAACACGTTTCAGCTTCTTTTTCTATTGTTTTGCCCACAGCATGCCAACACAAATGGCGCCGGGTCGGCAAATCCCCGTATGTAGTGACGTCATGTGGGAACTATGTATACACAGAGCTTTCCATGTATATGTGCAGTTCCGTGGTTAAAGGCGTATTGTGTGCCTAATGGTGCACGACATGTTACAATACTGTATTTGGTGGTTGGTCGACCTCCTGCTATGGGTGCATGCTTTGACAAGAGTGTTTCAGAGTGCAGTATTAATGTGAAGCAAAACATGTATGACTCCGAGATGCTTTCATTACCCCAAAAAACATGTATTATTTGATAAGTTATATCCCAAACTGTGTAGTGTTGAAGAGGTCAGGAGACGTTGTGCATCACCTCATTTAAAAGCATGGCTACCTAACTTTCTTTAATAAATATTGCATTGTTCCAACAGAAAGAGTCTTGTAAAGTGAAATGTGGTGAACAAATCAGACATGCCATTTTCATCTTCTTAGAAATACCATGATTTACTTCTGTTGAGGTGAGGGGAATCTTCTTTCATCTGTCATATATCACTTATCTTTTCAATTCAACGTCATTTTGTACAATCCTAATTCAACAGCAGTTGTAGAACTTTCTAGTTCAAACACAGGAAATGTATGTAGGGGATGCTCAAAAATACACGCTTGTGGAAACTAGTGCTTTTTAAAGTGGTTTTAAAGTGAGATACCCAGCTCTAACAGTATTAATTTTTGTAAAAACCTAACTTTTGACTTTACATGTTCAAACAAATGTACAAATATTGCCGTTTCAGGATCCACACAAAGAAGTGTAGTGTTCTCGTGTATAATTTTAGAGCTTGTTTGGAGACCAAACACATAGGAGGGGTTGATAGCATCAACAGTTGCCATGATACAGTAGATTTGAGTTGAGGACATCATCTTATTGAACTTTATACTTTGAGGTTGACGCTACAACTGTTCATTGAGCACCTCTTTGCTTGTGTATTCCATATTAGGGCTGATAAAATAATGAGAATAAATACTATATACTGTATTTAGTAGGCGTGGCCAGCCTGATTAACATCGCATGGTGGTCTCTGGAGGAGGGTGTCCCATGTGGGGGACAGAAGGAAAGCTCCCTCATCTCGGTTGAGGCTGTTGTCGCTCCGCTTCCTGATATTGAAATCAGTCACTCCGGCGTGGTCTGCCTGAGTGTTACACCCTACACTGCTCAGGGCTCATGTAACTGCCGCGTCCTAAAGCTCGATAGGGGCCGCTGGGAATTTACAAAAAGATCATCGGTCACGTCTGTCAGAGATGAACCACAGAGCGTTGAGCGTTCAGCAAAAAGAGAAACTGCTTAAGTTGGATTTGATCAAGCTTGTTTCTCCAAAAGGGCATTAGTTAGAAATAACTCTCCAACTCCTCCTTGTCCTAAGAGCTCATATAAAACTCCTGAAACATGTCGCTTGCACTGTCTGTGCCTCATGTTGAATCCAATCCTATGTGGACATAAAGACTTCTTGTTTCCTTGATTATTGTGTTACTGTGTTTCTGCAGAATTACACCCAGAGTTTATGGACATTGGTCACCCGCGCTGCCCCATGCACCCATGCCTCTTATGTGTTTGCTATTATTTCATTTCATAAGTTTGGACTGTTTTTATTCTCTGATCTGTTGTTGACAAACTGACAACTTTTTAACATTTCTCTTTGACAAATGTTGTTGTGAATTTGAGCTTCACAAAAATAGGTTTAATTGAATTGAATGATTCAAATGACTTCAACAGGAGTGAACAAAGGAAACTT